ACATTCAGTAATTTACTTATAATTTATAACTTATAGTACACTCACAAACATTGATATAGACAGTCACGATATCTTGTAGTGTCTTTCATGACTGATGAAGCTACAGCGCAAGCTCTAATTATGTATAAGGTATAATTTATCACTTATAGACGTTACAAATGGTTGCGTTTAGATTATCTTACTAACGATTTGCTTAAAGTAATGTTGCGTCTATCGTTCGTACTGACTTTGCACGATCAGTGATCGTTAGAAAATTTATATTTTCTTCCTTTTACATTGACGTCGTGTTGCTATATAAAACTCCCCATAAATAAATAACATATCAAATTATATATATGTATAACGTTACAGCCAACAGAAAATTCAATGCACTTGACTGTGTTTAATTAAAGACACTTTACTTAGACAATTCAGTAATTTCGAGAAAAAGTCATTCTAACGTGGAATATTTTATAAGTGCGACACGCCGATTTTTATGAAATTTTACATAAGAGTAGAGTCAGTGAAAAAATTTGACGTATATTTCTTTGGGGATGAAACTGCTCTTCAGTCTTCAGCTATTTAATTGAATAACTCGAGAAATCTAAATAATTGTGTTCTGTTTAAAGTTTTAGAAATACATTGAAAATAAAATTAGTCACTATTTTATCGCTTTATTTTTATGAATGTAAATGTATTTGTAAGAAATGTAAATTACTTATATTGAACTTTATCTTGAACTTTACAAGGTAGTTTATTTCGGTTTCTTTCACAAATCGTAAACAAACAAATATGTGTCGTATACTTTCAAAAGAACTGCTTTTATGTAAAAGTTCATCAGAATGACCGAAAGAAAAAAATGATTGAAAACAGCAAAGTTCATATTCCATATTTTGGTTTCAAGTACTATAAATCTGACAGCTCTCTCGAGATTTGTTTATTAACGTTAATGAAACTTATACTAACGAATATGATTTAAACGCATACAGCATGTCCGCGTTTAGGTGAAAATGGAGCATGATCTCTTAAAGGTTTATACAATTTTGTAATATAAACTTTTGGTTTGTGTTGATAATATAAAAAAATTGCTTTTGCCAAAAAGTTCGTTCCCCTAGCACATACTTTAGGGGATAATGATCCGTTTGCACTTGTAAACGCGGGCACCCGACATATACGATTTTATAAATGAAATCTTGCGGCGCGTTTACGTTTACTTGCGATTTCTTCTGCTGTGAATGGATTTTTACGACTGTATATAAAAAGCTATATATGTGTAATTGTCTCGATTTGAAGTCTTAGTAAAATTAATTTCCGTGCTTCTCTTATTGACAATGATTTTATCAGTAAGTAATCTTGAACATTGCGACATTCTTTTTTTACTTTTTGTTTTTCGTATTGCGAGCTGCAAGTTTTAAGAACAATTTGTTATCTGGACACACGAAACTGTACTATTCGCTACAATACGAGCATTTCGATTGTATAACACGTTGTGTATAACGTTCACTTTATTTTTCACGATCAAAATTGGGATCGAACCGGACCGACTTCTCGTTTCTTGCTCGCGACAACCGAAGAGAGTGGATAGCGTAATAAAAGTGTGTGCTCGTTCCTCTTTGTTTAAATATGTATGCTCTATGAGTAGTTCAATGTATCAAAGCCCCTTACAGTAATATTCGAAAGCGAATACTTTTTAAATATGCGTTGCGATAACAATTCGCATCGGGGATTCCTTGTAGCTTTTTAATATAGTATTTGTATCTTTATGTATTTATATATATTTTATATTATACAAGCATATCATAAGAAACATCGTCCGTTTCTAACTTGTAATATTTTAATAGTATTATTCCTTTTTTTTTGTAACGATTTTCTTGAAATAACTTTCAATATGCTGTCGTAGCAAATACTACGACGCAATATACATATTTTGTAAGACCACGTATCTTGTTTGCGCATTCGACGTGTAATTTTGAACGAAACATGACGCAGATAGTACGTAGGCGATGCAATTTATTTAGTCTCAAGTTAGCCTCGGCAACAAAATTGTTTATTGTTCATTTCTTTGGTTTTGTTCTTTCTTGAATCATAGGATTCCCGTTTCAGAATTTCGATACCGTTCTATGACACAAAATTGCCAACGAATTTTTCAGCGAGAAAGTAGCAATTTCAATGACAATCGTTTAACACGTCTGCAGAAGACTAAGATTTCCATGGGAAGACTGCTTTGAACCTAATACTTTGCACGCCTTTGCACATTCTCACAGGCTACTATTATAATTTCATACGACTTTTATTTGAATAACATTTCGTTCGTAACGGAAAAAAGGTAAACGGGAGAAGCATAGCCGATTCTGTATCAAGATAATGTCCGCTCACAATAATCACGCAAGGTCAGATCGACAATAACGTTACTTGCAAATTGTTATTTATTAAAATGTGGCTAGA